TTGCAATAACTTGCTACGAGTCTTTTACAGCACTCTGGAGGAATTTTAGTCCACTCATCTTTGCAGAATTGTTGTAATTCAGCTTTATTTGAGGGTTTTCTAGCATGAACTGCATTTTTAAGGTCATGCCATAGCATCTCAGTAGGATTCAGGTCAGGACTTTGACAAGGCCACTCCAAAGTCTTCATTTTGTTGTTCTTCAGCCATTCAGAGGTGGATTTGCTGGTGTGTTTTGGGTCATTGTCCTGCTGCAGCACCCAAGATCGCTTCAGCTTTAGTTGACGAACAGATGGCCGACATTCTCCTTCAGGATGTTTTGGTAGACAGTAGAATTCATGGTTCCATTTATCACAGCAAGCCTTCCAGTTCCTGAAGCAGCAAAACAACCCCAGACCATCACACTACCACCACCATATTTTCCTGTTGTATGATGTTCTTTGTCTGAAATGCTGTGTTACTTCTACACCAGATGTAACGGGACGTTTGCCTTCCAAAAAGTTCTACTTTTGTCTCATCAGTCCATGAGGTATTTTCCCAAGAGTCTTGGCAATCATTGAGATGTTTCTTAGCAAAATTGAGACGAGCCCTAATGTTCTCTTTGCTTAACAGTGGTTTGCGTCTTGGAAATCTGCCATGCAGGCCATTTTTGCCCAGTCTCTATCTTATGGTGGAGTCGTGAACACTGACCTTCACTGAGGCAAGTGAGGCCTGCAGTTCTTTAGAAGTTGTCCAGGGGTCTTTTGTGACCTCTCGGATGAGTTGTCTCTGCGCTCTTGGGGTAATTTTGGTATTTTGGCATGAGCGTGATGTGGGGTCATTTTAATTAGTGAGGCACTTTGAGGTGCATTAACTGTATGAAAAGTGCCTTAAAATGAAGTTATATTTGAAGGGCCTGCTATTTGGCACCTTCTTAGGGTTCTACAACCCTCAAGGTGTTTGACAGAGACAATCAATCATTCACTCCTTCACACACATTCACACACTGGTGGGTATGAGCTACAGTGTAGCCACAGCTGCCCTGGAGCACACTGACAGAGGCCTGGCGCCACCAGTCCCTCCAACCACCACCAGCAGGCAAGGTGGGTTAAGCATTCAGAACCGGGATCAAACCTGCTAACCTTCCACTTACTGGACAACCTGCTTTCCCTCCTGAGCTACTGCTGAAGTTTTAGCTCCACAAATAACACAAGCCAGGAGGAGTTCTGGTATGTGGTGAAGTTGCTAATGCTAAGAGCTAGCTTTTACTAGTCAGAGGCTCTCTGCTGATTCCTGGACGCTAAACCAACAACGGCCTTACCTGTCGCGAGTCAAGATGAACGTTACGCGACAGTGTGACGTAGATCTGTCAGGATTTTCAAATCCCAGAGTTACACCATCTATTTTCTATCAGAAGGAGTTAGATGTAGGAGACTATTTTCATGTTCAGAATGCATTCAAAACTCAGAGTGACCGATTTTAACCAGAAATAATTTGTTTTTGTTTGTCAGGTATCTTTACAATTAGTATTTTTTTGTATTACAAACACATTTCTGTACATTAATCTGATAAAAGATTACTTAAAGATCTGAAGACTTTCTATTAGCGCTCACCGTGAGGCTTTATTCTTAGCATATATGAAAGCCTGTGATTTCCCCTTGTGAGTGCATGTTTTTGTGTGTGTTCTTTATGGTTTGTGTTCCCCAAAACAAGTAGTCCAAGTTGACACAGTGACAGTTCCTCGCAGGGCGACTGAGGGGCCCATCAATCCAACAACAGAGGCTTTGTTGCCCTGCTCCTCTTGGCTTGTTATGGACTTCCTTCTCCCCTCTCTTTTTCATTTTTTTCTCCCCTTCCCTTTTTTTGTGAACTCATTTTCTTGTCTGAAGTCTTAATTTGGGGTGCTGGCCAGTGAAGAGAGGGAAGAGAAGGGGACCAAGGGAGGCACGAACGAGGAAAGAGGGAGAGGAGTTGCAGAGTGGTGATTGCTGCAGACGGACAGGCCTTTGTTCCTTCTTTCCCAGGCTCTTCTCTTGAGCCTCTGAAGCTCCAGTTGCGCTGAAGCCTTCCAGCAAAAGTGGCAGAGAGAAGGAGGTCATAATGATCTGTCCAACTGGAATCTTCTGATTTCACAGAGCAAGCAATGAACCTGGCGCAAAAATGTGAGGAGAGAGGCAGGAAAGAAACAAGCTAAACGAAAAACAAGAAAAATCTGAGTGAGAGGATTAGCCTTTTAGGCAGAAATTAGCCACTAGATGTCCCCACCACTGACACCAAATGAGGACAGAATTAATACATGACAGGCTCTGCAGCACTCTCCACATGACTAATCATTGACAGACTAAAACATCCAATCATTCCTTCAATCATTTTTGTGCAAAACATTTGATTTCTAAATGCATTAAAGAGAAAATAAATGCTTGAAACCACAAAAATAAAATAAAATAAATAATAATAATAATTTTCTACTGTTTCAGTTTCAAGCCTACAGTCATGTTAGGAGTAGGCGTTTGGAGGGTTTGACAGCTCATGTTTGGCCACTGGTAGGAGGATGGCTCAGAAACAAGGTCCGGAGTCTTTGTGCATCTTCATCCCTGAAGTTCCCCCAACATGGGGGTTACATCAGCACCGCTGTGTGGCTGTCTTTATAAAAATCGTTTTTTTGTAGCGCGAAATGAGTAAAAAACCCACTTTTAATGCAGACAATTGCTCAAGTGGATAGAAACAGTGTTTCTGTGGAAAATGTACTTGAACCTGAATGCGTGATAACGAGCAAGGAGGAGGGACTCAGAGAGGGACCTTGGGGACCGTGTCAACGTTTTGTGTGCCGGAGCAGGGACAAACGTTGGGCAAACATTATGAAAGGCTGGCAGCCTTTGAGATAGTGGGCCGTTGATCTAAGACTAAGGAGCTAAGTCCACTATCTCCTGTGTGATACAGCAGCCAAGGTCCTGCTGACACACAGAACAAACATGGACACCTGAAGACAATGACCTTTGAACCCTCTCTGGAAGAAAAACAGGAAGCGGTGAAAGTGACTCTGGTGACTTCCACCCTGCAGGCCAGGAATGAATCAGGTGGAATGATTGTAAGTACACGGGTCGTTGTACAGAAAATAACTAGCTCTCTCTCACACACACACACACACACACACACACACACACACACACACACACACACACACACACACACACACACACACACACACACACACACACACACACACACACACACACACACACACATCTTATTCAAGTGTGCGACGCACAGATGTGTGTGTGCGCGCGTGTGTGTGCGCGTGTGTGTGTGTGTGCGCGTGTGTGTGTGTGTGTGCGTGTGTGTGTGTGTGTGTGTGTGTGCGCGCGCGCGCGTGTGTGTGTGTGTGTGTGTGTGTGTGTCTAAAGGAGGAAGAGAGAAAGTGAGTCTTCAGATGTAGCGACAGATGGTATTTGATTACAGAGCAGACGGTCGGTGTTGTACAAAGATGCTGTCTCAGCCCAACCTAAGGAGCTGTAGCCTCCGGTGAAGGCAAGCGGAGCGAGGCGGGCGGAGGACGCAGGAGAACACATGAGAGGAGGAGAAAAAAATATAAAATAGGAATAAAAGCAAGCAGGAAAGACACAAAAGAAGCAACTCCTAAAAATGAGCATCAAAGCACAAAAGAGTGAAAAGCAGTGAGGCAGGAACAAAGGGAGAGAAGGAGCAGCGCGATGGGCAGGCGTGGTAGAAAGTACAACAGGGGTCACGATGAGAAAAATAGCAAAGTGACGCAGAGAGACCACACTGAGCTTTTCTTCCTAAAGACCTTCAAACTACAAAGCAACCACAGAAACATGAAAAAGCATGACTTTAGGTGGAACTTAATGTTTGGAGAGACAGCTAAATCTTGAAATTGGTATAAATTTTGTGCCATGACAAAGAAAACCAAACGAGTCTGCAAAGCTAATTAAAGCTGCAATGAAAAATTTGGAACAAATTAGCCTAAAATGTTGTTTCATGCCTCTCAACAACGTTCTAACATAATAAAGCTATTAATATGCTGTGGAGATTTAAAACAAAAAACAAAAAATAAAACCCAATAAAGTTTGTCTAAAAACCTCCACCAACACGTTTCGGACTGAAAGCAACATCTGGTTGTCCATCTCGCTGAACCACAGCACTCCTACACTTCCCTGGGTCCTCCATTCATCAGGTACTCGTGTATTTATCAACAGAACACCACTAGTGTGAGATGTTCTCCACTCAATAATGCCAGAGAAGGAGAAACAGCAGGCTGCTAAACTTCAACTTTAGGACAAACTACCGGAGTCCTGAAGAGAAAAAAGCTGTTGGAAGTCACGGACAACAAAAGACGTTTGGACCTAGTCAACGGAGACCAGCATCGTGGGTTTCTGGTTCTGGCAGAAACGTCTCACAGAAGATACCAAAAGGGGAGGGATGAGTGTTCCATGAACGTGTTAGCGTTCAAAACCCAGCTTGTTCTGTAGATTTGCTGTAGCAGCTTTAATTTGTTGGAAAATAAATGAAAAGACCATATTTTCTGTTTCTGATGTAGTTTCAGTGCAGATCTTATCACAAATCTTCATTATTTAGGCTTGTAAATAGAACATTTTCGCTCTTTAATATTTTAAAACTTAATTAATAAATCAAATAGAACCCGTTTGGTGTCACTGATGAATAAAAAGAACAGAAAAAATAACAGAGAAAGTCTAAAAATTCCATCAAAATTTGAAGTTAAACATACCTAACTATTGTTGTATTGCAGTAGTGTTCATTTGGGGACATTGTAATTATTATTACAACATTTACTGACCTGATTTAATAAAACATAATAATGATGCACAAATGAAAGTGATAAGATATCGATGTTTAAAAAAAGTCTGAAAATGTATTTTATCCTAATGAAACGTGATCAATCATTAAAAAAACTGATTCTAAACTCTGGATCGCTTCTTCAAATGTCAAAAATCGAGATTTGTGTGTGTGTGTGTGTGTGTTAAAAACTGTCTTAAAAATACAGCCAATTGACATTTTGCACTCATTTTTTATTTTTATCTCAAAATTTTCTCCATTTTGCACAAGCTTGCATATATACTGCACATACATTCAGTTCATAGAGGGTGAAGGCACAAAAGGCAATTTGACTACTGGTTGTTTTGTTTCTCTTTCTCTCTTTTTGGGGCTGGGCCAAAAAATACAGGGAAAAAGAAAATATCTCAAGGAAAAACAAAGTTTTAATTAAAAAAAAACTTTTTCAAACTATCTTCAGCTTTCTCCTCCACCCTCTGCCCTGCCACACCCTTTGACCATCCACACAGATGCCGATCTTAATTCAGTCGTTTCTCTACGGTAGATTCCTAATTTTGCTAGAAAAAGGATAAAATCTTTAGAGTCATTTCAGTTTGCTTAAATGCAGTACATCCTTCCCTGTTAGAAAAATTAAAACATCAAATAAATTAGGATAAATTAAACCAATAAATTACACAAAATCTGCAAGACAAATAGACACCAGTAACAGAAACAAAAAGCAGCCATGACATGATTTATATTACAACCTGCTTGGAATTACTGCACTAAAACAGAATAATAATAATAATAATAACAACGACGTCATAGAAAAAGCATCAACAAAAACACTATTTACATATTGCTAAGTTATACAAAGGCAGTTTCTCTCACTGTAAGTCATTACCGTAATTACAATAAAAGAGGAGCAATGTCATCATTTTTTAAAAAGGAATTACCAGTAAAAGCATTGAAACAAACAACCAACCAAAAACTCAAACAGGTCAGAGGAACACACACACACACACACACACACACACACACACACACACACACACACACACACACACACACACACACACACACACACACACACACACACACACACACACACACACATGTTGCCAAGGCTTAATGGGAATCATTTACATGTCAGGATGGCACTCCCATGGGGTGGAGGGGGGTCGGATGGGGGCGGGGCCACAGTGTTGAGAATTGTGTCACTCGGCGGTTCACAGGTTTTCGTAATCGGTCTTCTCTCTCTCTCTCTCTCTCTCTCTCTCTCTCTCTCTCTCTCTCTCTCTCTCTCTCTCTCTCTCTCTCTCTCACACACACACACAAACACACACACACACACACACACACACACACACACACACACACACACACACACACACACACACACACACACACACACACACACACACACACACACACACACACAATGCAAATCTAACAGACCCACTTATCAAATGAAGAGGATTTAATTTTTGTATTTTTTCATCTCTCTTTCTCTCTCTCTGTTTTCATTGTTCTTTATATCAAATAACAACTGTACATGTTTCCCGTTACGTGGTGCTCCTGTTCCTCTCCTACCCCTCCCAGCTCATCGCTCCGCTAGAAGGGTAAAACAAAAGTGATGCTGGTGCAACTTCAAGATGGGCGACGGGAAACAGACTCCTGTTAAAGGCATGGCAGGGTGGTGAGTGCAGGGGGGGGGGGGGGGGGGGGCTCTTTAGGCTTTTGGAAGAG